TGTCCCAGAGTAGGAGCAGGATCCTGATTCCCCCATCCCCCAGCACAACTGGTGGTGAAGCACACTTCATGGCCCTGGGATGTTCTGACTTTAGCTGTTCCCAGTCAAGGTCCCTTTTTCTCTTTTGACCCACCTTTCACTACAGCTCTGCTCCTTTATCATCTCCATCTCCTCCTCCTCCAGCATCTCCTGCTCCTCCAGCATCTCCTCCTCCTCCAGCATCTCCTCGTCTCCAGCATCTCCTCCTCCTCCAGCATCTCCTCGTCTCCAGCATCTCCTCCTCCTCCAGCATCTCCTCGTCTCCAGCATCTCCTCCTCCTCCAGCATCTCCTCCTCCTCCAGCATCCCCTCCTCCTCCAGCATCTCCTGCTCCTCCAGCATCTCCTCCTCCTCCAGCGTCTCCTGCTCCTCCAGCAGCTCCTCCTCCTCCAGCATCTCCTGCTCCTCCAGCATCTCCTCCTCCTCCAGCATCTCCTCCTCCTCCAGAATCTCCTCCTCCTCCAGCATCTCCTGCTCCTCCAGCATCTCCTGCTCCTCCAGCATCTCCTGCTCCTCCAGCATCTCCTGCTCCTCCAGCATCTCCTCCTCCTCCAGCATCTCCTGTTCCTCCAGCATCTCCTGTTCCTCCAGCATCTCCTTCTCCTCCAGCATCTCCTCCTCCTCCAGCATCTCCTGTTCCTCCAGCATCTCCTGTTCCTCCAGCATCTCCTCCTCCTCCAGCATCTCCTGCTCCTCTAGCATCTCCTCCTCCTCCAGCATCTCCTGCTCCTCCAGCATCTCCTCCTCCTCCAGAATCTCCTGCTTCTACAGGACCTCCTCCTCCTCCAGCATCTCCTCCATCACCTCCTCCTCCTCCAGCATCTCCTCCATCACCTCCTCCTCCTCCAGCATCTCCTCCATCACCTCCTCCTCCAGCATCTCTTCCATCACCTCCTCCTCCTCCTCCAGCATCTCCTCCATCACCTCCTCCAGCATCTCCTCCTCCTCCAGCATCTCCTCCATCACTTCCTCCTCCTCCAGCACCTCCTCCAGCACCTCCTCCAGCACCTCCTCCTCCTCCATCTCCCCCTCCCCCTCCTTCTCCTTCTCCTTCTTCTTCTTCTTCATGCTGGGATTACAGGCGTGCGCCACTGCACCTGGCTATGTTCCTTCCAATTTTGCTTATGTCTGAAAATTTTTATACTAAATCTCAGAAAGAAGATTAATTTCCCTAAGAAGGTTGGACATTTTGTTCCATGTTGTGCTAATGGTGAATATAAGGCCAGTCTTACCCTGTTCCTCTGCAGTTGACTGATTGTGTCCTCTCTAGAAGCTTGAAGAATCTTCTCTCCCATTGTTCTGGATTTTCAAGAGAATGTGTCTAGGTACTGATCTTCCCCCAACCCACTAACACTTCATGACACTTTTGTTGTTCAGAACTTTGTCCATCAAGCCTGAGTTTTCCTGTATTCATTCCCCAGCCTACATGTCCATTTTTCATTCTTCCTGGAATTCCTATTAGACAAGTGTGGAAATCCTTGTGTTAATCCTGTCATTATCTCTGCCTCTTTCCTTTGTTTACTCTGCAGTCTAAGAGACAAACATTACCTTCTAAACTTTGTCTTTTCCATTGTCTTTCTTTTCTTTATATTTATTTTCTAAGTTTTGTTTCTTGTTCTCATTTCCATTTTTTCCAACACTCAGTCCCTATTTTTACAATGTCTTAATAAATCTTGGAAGATTAATTTCCTAGTTTCTAGGGTTCTCTTCTGTTTCCTGAATTATCTCTACTTCCTCTCCTATCACTCTTCTGTGTGCTTCGGTGGTTCACTTCTGTACAGCAGGATTCCTCCAAATATGTGGTGGTTTGGGGTTGCCTCTTCCTGATAAAGGAGGAGCCAGCCATTCTGCTGAGGGCCCCCTAAAAACCCAAATGAAGATCAGTTTATTTTAGGCAGCTAACACCCATTTGAGGAACGACAGATATGGCAGTTAAAAATAATAACCATGGGCCAGGCACTGGCACTGCAGCACACACCTGTAATCCCAGGGGCTTTGGAGGCTGAGGCAGGAGGATCTCATGTTCAAAACCAGCCTCAGCAAGAGCAAGGCACTAAGCATCTTAGAGAGACTCTGTCTCTAAATAAAATACAAAATAGGGTGGGGATATGGCTTAGTGGTCAAGTGTCCCTGAGTTCAATCCCCAGCCCCCAATCCCCCAAAAAGAGAAATAACAACAACCATGAAATTCTTGGGCATTCCTGCCAATGATCACTGGAGGGTCTGTGTCCCTTCCCTTAAATCATATTCAAGCAGTAGAACATGGTGGGAGTATCAGTCTGTGACTCTAAGATGAAGTCAAAAAGGTCCATGAAGCCTCTGCTTTATTTGTGGGAACTTCCCTGATCTCAGGACTGCCATATAAGAAATCCACCCACTCCAAGGCCACCATGCTGTGAAGAAACAACACCACACAGGGAAGCTACCTGTGAATATGCCAGTGGGCAGTCCTAAATTCCTGCCGCAAGTTCCAGGCAGTGATTCCAACTGAGAAGTCCCTTACCAGCCGAGGTCCCAGAAGTCAAGGAGCAGAGAAAAGCCATCCATGCTGTGGTCATCTGAATTCCTGAGCCCCTGAATAACCAGAGGCATAACAAAATTGTTGTGTTAAACACCACGTGGGTATGTGTTGGGAGAGCGTTTTTTTATAACGCAACAGAAGTTAACTGATACAATGGGCAAGACACAGATTCTAACCCCCTTCTTCTACCACTGTCCAGAGCTAGAGCCACAAACCTGCAGCAAGCAGCCCAGCTGCACAGGCTCCTGTGTGTGCTCTGATACCATGCCTGGCCTTTGCACGGCCACCCCTAAAGCACCTTCAGAAGTGCCCATAGGCATGCTAGAGTCACACCATGCAAGCCTTGGGCAGGTGACAGAGCCTTTCTATGCCTGTAGTTTCCTCATCTAAAAAGTGAGAATGTAATCAATAGATTTCTTATGAGGATTAAATGGAATTAATGAACATAAAGTTTCAGGACAGTGCCTGGGACACAGGCACTGAGCAGGTGTTATTGCCTCTCCTGGTATTTCTTCCTTTGAAGGGAACCTAATGGGGAGAAGGACAATAGGGAAGAGTGAACCCTGAATTCCTAGCAGCCACCCCGATACTGAGCCTCTGGAGGAAGGAGGAGCCTCTGGGCCTATGGAGAGGCATGCTGTCCTGGCCACCCCTTTCCCAGCCAGGACATCCTTAGATGCAGACAGATTAGGGCTTCTGGACCACAGCTTTTGATGCAGGAGCCAGCCTGTCTTCCCAGAGCTGCCACTCAGAAAGGGGGTTGATGGGCTGCAGTTAAGAAAAGAAATTCAACCTATGGTCTTCACAATGCATGTCCTGATTTATGAGTTGAGATGAGCACTTTATATATTAAAGATGAAATAAGTTGAGGTGGAATAAAAATTCCACCAAAATATCATTGGTTTATTAAGTGTGTCCATGTGTGCACATGTCTACACATTCATTAGTTCACAATGATGTAAAATGGGTTTCTTACTGGATTGCTAATCAGAAGTTTTGAAATTGCTAGAGAATGAGAATGTTTTCATGGACTTGGGCTTGAGGGCATTAAACATGCTCCCTGAATGGCCATTCTGTGGAACTCCACCATGGTACTCTCCTTAGGTAAGGGTTCAGGGATTTTGCTGAATTAATAAGAGGTGAACAGAAGGAAATGGGACTTTCTATTGGCCCATCATCTGATTCAGGGTCCCCTTTGGAACTGAGGGAGATGCTGCAGCAGGAAGCACAGGACACCAACACAGAAATAGCGAGAACCATGATGGGAGATAAACGACTCTAGACTGGGTGGGGATATTTTATGTCGGCAGCCACAGAAATACAACAGCAAAGACCGTGAGTCTTAACAATAACTTATTTGTTAAAAAGGAATAATTAAAGCTACTCATCTCTCTATAAAATGGAGAACAAATCAAAAATTAAAATCATTGTTGGTGCCCACAGTCAGGGAGGCCAGGAGCCACTAGCGCATTTGCAGTGCCCTCCTAGGCTGGACTTAACCCTTTTTGGTAGAAATTTAGCTTTATCCAAAAACTTAATTTATGCATGTTCTTTGGCCCAGCAGTATCATTTCTAAGGTTTGAGCTCATATAAACCTATAAATTTACAGTTTACATAAGTTCACAAAGATATATGCAAATAACCCCTGCCAGGCAGGGTGACACACACCTGTAATCCCAGAGGCTCCTGAGGCTCAGGCAGGACGACCTCAAGTTCAAAGCCAGCCTCAGCAAAAGTGAGGCACTAAGCAACTCAGTAAGATCCTGTCTCTAAATAAAAATACAAAATAGGGCTGGGGTTGTAGCTCAGTGTTTGAGTGCCCCCAAGTTCAATTCCAGACACCAAAAAAAAATAATAATAGAAACAACCCACGCTGCAGCATTGAAGTTATGGAAAGCCGGAAACAACCAAATACCCACTAATCAAGGAGTAGTTAAATTAGGTACATCCTTGGGATGAAAGGCTGATAAAATGGGTAAAATGAATGGGGTAGCTCTCTGTTGGGTAAGAAAAGAATGTCCGTGAGATAGTTTTAAATGGAAAAAATAAAAGCAAGCTGCCAGAAAATACATAAAATGTTTCTAATTTTAAGCTATTTCCACATACACAGAAGAAATCAGCTCAGCATGTGTGATTGCCTCTCAGTAAATGAAGAAGGTATACTTTTTCTTTCTTTTTTTACTACTAGAGATTGAACTCAGGAACACTCAACCACTGAGCCACATATCCAGCCCTATTTTGTATTTTATTTAGAGACAGGGTCTCACTGAATTGCTTAGCGCCTGGCAGTTGCTGAGGCTGGCCTTGAACCTGCGATCCTCCTGTCTCAGCCTCTCAAGCCACTGGGATTACAGGTGTGTGCCACCTCACCCAGCTGTACTTGACTTTTTGTACTAATGAAATTTCTACAACTAGCATGTGTTTCATAATCTGGAAAAAATTAATAATGAACAAGGACCATAAATTTTTATTTAGTAGATATAACCCAAAATTTCAAAATACTGTATTCCATATGTAACCAGTTAGGAGAAAGAAAAAGAGTGTGAGAGAGAAAGAAATGTTTGAAGAGATACAGTAGAAAAGTCAGGAAAAAAGGAACCAGAAAAAGAAGGTGGCTGGGGAAAAGGGGCAAGAGAGAAGCAGCAACAGAGAACGGCAGAGGTGGCGGTGTCATTTTAGCAGGTCACATTTCACAGGTCACTGAGGCTCCACTCCTCCTTATAACAAAGGGTGTCTACTGTTTTTCTATGATCATTAGATTGGTATCCTCCCCTCATAAATTAAAAAGGTATTTGATTAGACAATCTGTTGTAAGCTTTATTGAAAATATTTAGCTTTTCAAAATGGACTTTGAAATTCAAAAACCTATCCATTTTTAACTAGGATTTGGCATTCATCTACCATGCAAAAGCCTTTTTCCCCCCAATTGACATACTAGGTTGCTCTGTTCTGATACCTCCAAATCATATTTTGGGTTTTTATTTTGTCCTGAGACCAGATCTTCACTATGTTACACAGGCTGGCCTCGGACTTGTGATCCTTCTATCTCAGCCTCCTGTGTAGCTTGGATTACAGGTGTGCACCATCATGCCTGACTTTCTAAATCACAGGCATGTAAATAAAACTCATTTCATAGCTTCTGTTTTTTCAAGTCCATAGGGAAAGTACAATCTGATCACTGGGATACTGTGTGGTGAGAATAAACAAGGAAGGTGTTTTGGGGACCTAAGGATACACCTAGCCTATGATAATGGAACCTGGAAGGCAGAGCTGTGGCTGGAGGAAAGGCTCAGGCATGGGTCTCGACCACCAGGAAGGGGTCCTAGCCCCTTTCTTTGATCACTGGGAGGCTGTCCAAAACAACCGCAAACTCAGTAATGCTCCATGATAGGTGTATGTATTACAAGTGTGTGGCTGTGTAGGGGAGCCCCAGCAAGACTTGTGTACAGGCAACACAGGGCCAAATTCATCTTGAGCAGATCCTCATGTGCCATCCTGGGACCAATTCTAGTTTCTTAAAAGAAAACTAAAAAATGTTTGCAGAAATAAAATGGGCCTGAGGCCTCATGGAGCATCCCTGATGGGCACCAAGGAGCGGCAACGCACAGAGTCCAGGCAGAAAGCTTGTTTCTCCACTCTTTATTAAAGCTAGGTCTTCCTGCAGACAGCTCAGGCAGGGCAGAAGCAGCTGGGGCTCAGGAGGGACGGGCACAGTGCCAGGCCCTGGCCACTAGGGCAAGGTCAGAGACACCCCCAACCCCTACCTCCCCCAGCCTTTGACCCTTCCTGAGGCTCATGTCCCAGAAGACATGGGGAGAGAAGAAACCTGGAACAGAGAGGCCATTGCTTAGGTCCCTCCCTGGGACCCCTATCCTCCTCACCACCCCACCCCACCACCTCACTCCGGCCAGGCTAGTTCTTACCACCACCACCCAGGCCCTTTCCCTCCCACCAACTACGACGCCTCCTACCCCACCCAGCCCCTAGCAGCCTGGCTGCTGGCTCTCAGCCCCTGAGGCCTGTCTACACTAAAACAGAAGGAACTAGGTCTAAGGGAATGCAGTCACTTTAAAAATCTCAGTTCTCTGGCCCCAATCACACTGGCCCAAAAAGCACAAAGGGAGGGGGCCTCACATGAGAAGTGCCTCAGCTGCTGCCCAGTGGCTTCCAACAGTCCAGTCTAGAGGGTGAGGCATCCACCAGGCAGGGGCCTTGCATAGGGGGGTGCTTAGTTTATCACTGAGCTAGGGGCTCAGGTCCCCACCCTGTGGGCAGCCACTGTGCAAGCCACCAAACCCTCAGTGCTTCCACTGACCCATCTGTGAAATGTGAATCTAGACAGAAACACTACTCGTTTCTAGTGTAGAATGACTGAAGCAAAGTCAAAGGGACATGTGAAGGTTGTAGGGCCCTAAGTATAGGACATGGGGAAGGTCCTTGGACCAATCTCAGTGCTTTAATATAAATGAGCACTGAGCTCAGAAGGGCAGGTCTCCATGTATCCCCCCGCTCCAGGAGACGTGGCAGCTCGGAGAATTGAAAGTCAGGACCCAGGTGTGTAAGAGCCTGAATGGGGTGTCCCAAGGATGTCTGAGTGTGCCATCTCCAGCTGCCAGAGGTGGGAGGACCAAAGGACTTACTTGGGAAACTGAGATCAAAACCCACCCAAGGCTACGCCTGGCTGATCTCAGTGATGGTGGAGTGAGGCGAGTGAACAACTTTAGAGAATAAGGCTTCAAACTCTCTGGGGACCCTGCGAATATCTATAACCCATCAGCCCTGGCCACAAATTTGGTTTCTGGCTTTTTGTCCTCCCACATTCTTCAGGCCATACAAGAGACAGAAATAAATATCCACAGTTGACAGAATCAAAGCTTTTCCATTTCCTTCCTGGATTATTGAGGAACACCGTTCTTTGGAAACCTATAAGGCTTCCTTTTGTCACCCACGCAGTTCTTAAAACTTTCTGATACACACAAAACACTGAAAGGTCCCTGAATCTCCCACTAAGGAATGAAAGAAGATCTCAGCTGAACCCACCAGAAGCCAGGACCTGACACTGACCCACCCCAGCAGCCGGATGCTCTTACTTCGACCAGCCCACCCTCCCCAACACAAGGGCTTCTCCGACCTCGATGTAAAACCCAGTTACAAACTCCTAAGTCACTTACCTGGGCCACCCAAATTGGAATCCCAGTAAAATAAATAGCCTCGCCCACCATCCCTACTGCCCTGCCTGGCAGCATAGACCCAGAGATGTTGCAGTCTTTGTCAGGGATGGCAGATCCCAGCCCTGGCGGCCTCCACTCGCTGCTGCGCTCTCCAGAGCACGCCCCACACAGCCATTCGTGCTCCAGGGCAACGGCGCCCTCCTCTGGGGCCTGGCGGAAAGAAACTCGAGGCGGTGGGGCGGAAGGCAGTACACCCAGGGCTGAAGGAAGGCACCACACGCAGGACTGGAACCCTCGGCCCCACTCCCAGGCCAGAAGGGTAAGGGGCAGGCCCGCAGCAGCCTGCGCCCGAGCCGCCCAGGAGAGGGGCCGGTGACCTAGAGGGTTGCACTTCCTCCTGCCTTGGGCCCCTCACATGATGCTTTCCTCATAGGTACCCGAGGGCCCCGCAAATGCAGTCGCAGGCTCCGAGCCGAAGCTCGTCCCACCAGCGAACTCCAGCAAGGTGCTACTGCGCTCCCCTGACCCGGAACTCGCATTAGCACTCAAGAGTCCCTTGGTGGGTGCCTCGGCCTTAGGCGCCGGGGCCGCCGCTGCTGCCTGCCCTGGCGCACCAGTCGCACCACGGTGCGTCTTCATGTGAGTAAGCAGGTGTGAGCTCTGCGAGAAGCGGCGGCCGCAGTTGGCACAGGCGTAGGGTCGCTCGCCTGTATGCGTACGCTGGTGGGTCACGAGCACCGAGCGCTGTGAGAAGCGCTTGCCGCACTCGGGGCACGGGAAAGGCCGCTCACCAGTGTGGCCACGCCGGTGCTTGGCCAGGTTGGAACGCTGTGCGAAGCCGCGGCCACAGTCGGCGCAACGGAAGGGCTTCTCTCCTGTGTGCGTGCGCCGGTGCCGCTTGAAGTCCGAGCTGTGGCCAAAGCCTTTGCCGCAGTCGGGGCAGCGGTGCGGCTTCTCCTCTGCGTGTGCCCACTGGTGCCGTGTCAGCGCGGCACTCTGCCCAAAGCGCCGGCCGCACTCGCCGCACGCATAGGGTCGCTCGCCCGTGTGTGCTCGCCCATGCGCCGTCAGGTGAGCGCGGCGACTGAAGCCAGCACCACACACACCACACACAAAAGGTTTCTCGCCAGTGTGGCCGCGCACATGCGCTGCAAGGTGTGAGCCGCGGGCAAAGCGAGCCCCGCACTCCGGGCATGGAAAGGGCCGCTCTCCTGTGTGCGTGCGCCGGTGACGCGCCAGATGCGAGCCATACACGAAACTCTTGCCGCAGTCAGCGCAGCGGTGAGGCCGCTCGCCCGCGTGGTAGCGCTGGTGCTTGGCTAGTGCGGCGCGGCGCCCGAACGTCTTGCCACAGTCCGAGCAGATCCACGGGCTCTCCTCCTCTGCCAACGCAGCGGGCGCCGGCTCTGCCAGTAGCCCTCCAACTGCGGGCCCAAAGGTACGCAGTCCACCACCACCGCCTCCAGCACTGCCACCACCAAAAGGGTCGCAGGCCAGCCCCGTGCCCTCCACTAGGGACAGTGGGGTTCCCAAAGGTCCCTGCAAGGGACGCCCGTCTGCCGGTAGCCGTTCTCCAAAGTTTGGGAGGCCAAGGATGGGAAAGCCATCAGGGTGGAGCCAAGACTTGGGGTGCACAGGAAAGTGGAAACCAAGTGGGTGCGAGGAAGGGCCTTCGCCCTCCCCCAGGCCATTGCCCATCTCCAGGAACCGCCTGTCTGGCTCGGGGTCTTTCTTGCTCTCCGGAGCAGGCGCCTCCGCTGTCGCCGCCACCTCCTCTCTGGCCTCCGATTCGGGGTCTCCATCTGTTTCAACGGCCTCAGGCTCCTCAGGCTCCTCTGGCCCAGCTTCCTGCTCCTCAGGTCCCACTGTGACAGCCACCTCGCTGGACTCCTGTCGCGGGCCGTCACCACTGGGTTCTGTACAGCCTCCGCCACGCCGATGGCGCTGAAAGTCGGCACGCAGGCGGAAAGCCTGGCCGCAGTCAGGGCAGCAGTGAGGCCTGTCGGCAGTGTGGACAGCCTGGTGCCGCGCGAGTGCGGAGCTCTGACTGAAGCTGCGACCGCAGTGTGGGCACGGGTAGGGCCGCTCGCCCGTGTGTGTGCGCTGGTGTGTCACCAGGTAAGAGCGGCGTCCGAAGCCCGCGCCACAGAAGGCGCATCGATAAGGCCGCTCGCCAGTGTGGATGCGCCGGTGCGTCACCAAGTGCGACTTGTAAACAAAGCGCTTGCCGCAGTCCGGGCAGGGGAAGGGCTTCTCGCCAGTGTGTGTGCGCTGATGGATGGCCAAGTGTGAGCGGTACACAAAGCCCTTGCCACACTCGTCGCAGCCAAAGGGCTTTACAGCCGCGTGGTAGCGCTGGTGCTTGGCCAGCCGCGACCGGTGTGGGAATACTTTGCCACATACATCGCAAGTGGTCTCAGGCCGCCCTGTGGGAGCAGCCACTGCAGTGGAGAACGACCAGGGAGCCAGAAGGTTCGCGCCTGGCTCCCGGCCAGGTAGGAAGGGCTTTGCTTCACATTCCTCCGCCAGGACCCCGAGGCTGCCTGGGTCCGGCCCCCACTCCTCTGGAGTCTGGGCTGAATCCGAGTCGTCAGGGCCCCACGTCCCAGGGACATCCCCCACGCCATAGGCCGCTGACCATAGCCCTGGTGGCTCGTTCTCCTCCTCCGCCATCTCTGCCAGGAAGTCCTCATCATCTTCCTCCTCGTGGTCCTCTATATCGTCATTCCAGAACCAGGCTCCTGAAGGCGATAAAGTTAAACCAGAAGTGAGGGGTAAGAGAATGTGACAGAGCGCCTGCCCTGAGAAATCATGGCCTCCAAGGGACTCCAAGTTTTTCAGACATGGGGCTTCCTTCTAGTCGTGGACAGGCATCTCCACTCATCCAAGTGAGAGATTATTCTTGCCCCACCAATCCTGGCCGCTCCAGAGGCAATAAAGCCACACACACAGTTGGGGACTTTCTGGGTGTGGGGCATCCCATGTGGGGATCCCTCCCAAAAAGGTCAGAGTTCCACCTCTGGAGCAACGTCCAGGGCTTGCCACCCTATGAAGGACCTGAGACTGCAAAGTGGTGAGCTTGTTTGCAGGTTCTTTTGAGTCCCAAGGCTAAGCCCATAATGGATCCTGTTCCCAAAAAAGAAGAGACATGGATTGTTTTCCAAGCCAGCCCCCTCCCTAGCTGGCTTAGCAGAGGGCAGTGCAGCCTGGAGGTTTCAGCACCCTCAGTGTGCTCAGAACCTACCTTTACAGGCACCTAAGGTTTGCTCAGCATCCCTCCCTCTCCCACAGCAGCCAGGGGGCTTCCCTCCCTCTCCCAAAGCAGAACGTGTTGCACACAGGTTCTTGAATCCCTTTCCCCTTTAGAACCCATCTTACCCTGTGAGCCACCCTTCTTCAGCTTGGGTTTCCTGAATTGCTGTGCATTTGGGAAACCCCAAGCCTACTGGGACTATGGGCACACTGTGAGAACCCCAAGTTTCAGCTACTTGCCCTTCCTTTACAGAGCTGCACCCCAACCGTTCCCTTCTACCCTTCTGGAGTCAAGTCTGTAGTCTCCTTTTTATGAAATCAATCAGTGCTGGCAGCCTGCCACCATGATGTACAGGGGGAACTTGTGTATGGATCAGCATTAATTCATACTAGAGACATACAGGAAACTGCCTGGCCTGTGGCAGCGCCAGGTATTCAGAGCAACTGCATACCTGCTCTCCTGTACACTGTACTGTGCCCTTCAGATCCCAGCTACTGGAAGATTCAAGCTTCAATAGCCAGGGCCTAGGAAACTCATTACAGCCCACTTGGGTCTACAGCTAAGACTCTGGCCCATTTTAGCTGTCACCTGGCTGGGGGAGCCTGGACTGCTAAGTGTACCCTTGAGATGGTCAGAGCCTATGGATTCTCAGAAGCCTAGGCTGGCTCCCTCACATCAAATGCTACACCATGCCAGGTCCTTGTTCTGTATGACATTCTCTATGGTGACCTACAGTCTCATGGGAAAGCACAGCACACTGCCAGGTGCAGTGAAGCCAGAGACTGGCACAGGCCTGACTGCAGTTGTGAAAAAAAAAAAAGCATGCATGGATCATACAAGGGACAAGAAAATGGGTTATATTATTTTTCATACTAATTTTTCTACAGTTAGTAATACTGTGCTATTGTAGTAAACATAAGCTTTAAAAGTTTATCATTAGCCTTAGTTCACCACTAACTGCCACTTATGCCCACTGAATGACAAGTGTGTCCTGCATGGCAAAAAAAAAAAAAAAAAAAAAAAGTCCCTGTTCCTTTTCACTGGGTGCTCTTCTTTGGCAGCAACTCTTCCCCAAATCTGAGAAGGCTGGAGCACACACACCTTAGGGCAGGGATGAGCTGCTGGAGGACAGGCAATCTGGGCCAGTCAGATCAAAAGCCTTTTCCCTTTGGCTCTGATAAGAGTCTTGAGTAGTTTCTAATTAGAGCCCCCTAACAGGGAAAATTCACACTTGAACAAATACAATTTCTTGGCAGATTTCTGCATGGATTAGTCCACCATCAGAACCTATTGAGGATCAATGACCTTTTGCTGCATTAATAAGCCTTAAAGAGCTGGACACCAGGGCCAGCGAGAACCACCTCACTGCCAGGAACAGGGAGGGTTCTCTAATAGCACCTTTCCCCAGAGTCCAAGAACAAGAGGAATGCCTGCTGGTCCAGGAAGATGAGCCCCTACCCACCCACCCCACCTGGCTCTGTAGAGTGGACCAATCCTGACAGATACTTGGGGGAGCTCACCATTACCTCTGGAGCTGGCATGGGTACTTGTCCAACAGCAAGGACAAGTGGTGAGGCCATACCTAAACGCTCAGCAAGGTGTTGCAGGCCACCACTCACACCCAGTGAGCAGGGGGAAGGGCACCTGAATCCCAGGAAAGTTGAAGCTGGCTGCACCGGAGATCTCAGGAAGTATCAGGCCATTGGGAGGGAACCTGGGGAATCCCAAGACTAGCAGACCCCAAGACCAGGCTCTGTTCTCTTTATTTTCTGCTGTTAAAGTGGCATAAGGTCTAGAGGTTTTGGCCCTGGAATGGGGAAGTCCAGTGTAACAGTCACTCCAGGGACAGAGTTTGCAGGGTGTTTTCTAGCTTTAAGACCCAAAAGCTCTTTATAGATCCAGGTGAGGACTCATCAGCTCTACTTGTCAGACCCCAAAAGGGGCAGACAAGTCACTCAAATAAAAAAGTATATGGGGTGTGTTCCTCAATAGCTGGAGGACAGTGAGACAGGCAGTGATTCCAACAATGACCCTGAGGATTGAGCATGGCTACTTCCTCCAGAACTACAGGAGAGAGTAGAGAAGCTCTGCGGATTGGAGCTGGCACTTCACCTTCTTGCACCTAACACCTGCTCCCAGGATCTGACCTTGGGTGATAATTAGCTAGGCCTCTGGGAAGAGCCTGAGGGACCACAGGATTTACACATAAAATGCACCAGCAGATCAGGAATCAAAGTCAGCTATCTAGGAAGGGAGAACCTATCAGAGCTTGGCCACAAGGACACTTTCATAATCTATGTCAAACACAGTGAAAACAGGTTTCTGGCCTACCAGGAAGTATTAGGTGACAGGAGCTGGGGCAGGCAATCTAAAGAAGGCCCCTTCGCAGGTGGATGTCAAGAGAATGAATGAAAACCCCAGGACTGTGGGTTGTCACCATCATTTCTCCCACCTTCCTCCTAACATCTAGTCATGGATGCTTTCTAAAAAGTCCTGCTGGAGCTGGGCATGGTGGCACTCGCCTGTGATCCCAGCAGCTTAAGGGGCTCAGCAACTCAGTGAGACCCTGTTTCTAAGTAAAATACAAAAAAAGGGCTGGGGATGTGGCTTAGTGGTTGAGCGCCCCCAAGTTGAACTCCCCTCCCCCCTAAAAAAAGTCCTATTGGACAATGTTGGGCTCCCCTTCAAAGCTGAACACACTGGGTTCTTACAGATCTTAGCATTGTCTCACCACTTCATGCTCCATGGCAGGTCTTCTCCTATAGGTTGATGCCCCTTTACCACATCTCCCCTGCTGTCTCTTGAGGGGCAGCCAAGGGAACCAACTCTGCTGGGGTCCCAAACCCATTTGTACGTGGGACCTGGGGCAAGTCATGTAACTTCAGTTTCCTCATCTGTAATCTCATTTTGAGGTAATGCTGCAAGGGTTAAAAAAGTAAACAGCTATAAAGTACATGTAGCCATGCTACATAGGCATTACAACTGGACACAGGTGCCACCCATGCCATGTGTCACTGTTGATTCTCCAAGGCTTCCCCCTTGCTGTTTATTCTCTATCTTCCCTGTTGTTGAGACTCTGTTCTCTCAAATATTGGGCTGTTAGGCTGTGTCTCTTTTCTACTGCCAGGCACACATGGCTACAGATCGCTAGAAGGCTGGGCCCCAATCCCTAACTCCAGACAGGTTACTAACTAGCCCTCTGCACCTGGGCAGGCAAGTTCTCCTCTCCAACAGGGCAAGGTGGCAAAGGGATAGGAGAGGCTCCAGGGCTGGGGTATGAGCTGTCTTGGAGCTACCCTGTCACTAGCACTTGGTACTCTGCAGGCCTGGAGACCTCTGAAGACAGTAAAGGTGATCCTGCACTTCATGAAGACCAAGATTTACCCAGAACCCAGACAGCAGCAGGCTCCCTTGCTCTGCCCAGGCCCTGCACTAGCTGCAAGAAGCTGGCTCTCACGCTCTGATGTCTGGTGACCCAATGGCAGAAACCCCCAGACACCTCCAGGAAGTGCTCTGGGCACAGGGCAAGGGAATATGCCTCCAGCTGCTACAGAGGTGGCTAAGGGACACTCAGAACACCCAAACACACTGGCCAGGAAACCTATCTCCTGGCCTAAGCTGGTCTGGCCTTGGGAAAAGTCAAAGCTATGGGCTTCTGTCCTTCAGATAACCCTTCCCAAATTCCCTGAATAAGATCAGTACCTGCTCTTGCTCACCCCCACCCCCACCCTGCAAAACTTTATCCAGACACAGAAACTCAAGCTGGGCTCAAGAGCCCCTGCCACTGTCAGAAGTAGCACGAGGAAGAAGGTACATGAGGATGAAATGCCCAGGTTGGTGGGCATCAGCAGCCTCCCCTCCTAGTTGGGGGAGGACATCAGAGACATCAGCCTCAGCCTAGCTCATCAGCTCAAGCTTGGGAAGGCAGCCAGGCTTCCAACTGGGATCTGTGCTCTTGGCCAGGGCGACAGGCCTGTGAGCAAGTAGTCTTCCTCTGATAGGCCATTCCTTGTCACTGGTGAGTGACCTGAGAAATGCCAGTGACCTCTATGGCCTCAATTCCTTCGCAGATTATGTGTGGTTATGGTACCAAGGCCTGGCCCACCTCAAAACGATTTCAGAAAACAAAAGCACTCCCAGGTCAGGGGACAGGCCTACCTTCCTCTCACTACACCCTCCTATCCCCACCCCAGTCAGAGTCTCCAGCACCTGGAAACCTGAACCAGCCCCTTGTTCCAGGCACTAAAAAGGCTGCCTCTTTGCCAGGGTGTCCCCGCACTCCTTTCCTTCCTCTGCACCAAGCCCAGGGGTCTAGGGCAAGATAAGACCCAAGCTGCCTGGCTGGAAGAAAGAAAGGGGAGTTCAGTGATAGCCAAGGTCCCCTCTGGGGCATGGCTATGTGAAACCTAATGGACTGGCCTCTGAGGTCTCCTTAGGTGCTCACAGCTGTGTGAGCAGAACCCCCAGTAGCCTGGGGCCAGTCTCTGCCTGCTGTGGGTGAGGGAGGGGAACAGCTGTGCCTGTCTATTGGGGGCAGCCATATTCAGACTCCAGAACAGCTGGACAGTATTTGCTGATCACTGGATTTTCTCACCTTAGTGTGTGTCTCTACCTCTTCTGCCTTTTAAACTTCATCTCTGTCCTTTCCTGAGTAATGATTAAGCTGGTTCAATCCTGGGTCTTGTATTTCTCTTCTGTCCTTCACTTTCAGAAGAGGGGCAGAAGCCAGCTGCCGAGAGGGTGAGAGTCATCAGCTGGCCTTCTGGGATCCCCAAGGTGCCAGGCTTGGTCTGGCTGGCACAGCACCTGGAGGCTGCTGGAAGCTGCCATCAATCTCACCACACCCATTCTGAATGCCATGGACACAGGTGGATGAATGAGACACAGAGCCTGTTCTTACCAAGCACTGGCCTAGAAATGAGGAAGCAAACCCTTCATCCCAGAGAAGCAGCACTGTTTTTTGCCAGAAGGAACCCTTCCAATTCTGAAGCCCAGGAAAGATCCCAAGAGGGTCCCAAGAACCTGGAGACTCAGGAGAAGGGTACCTGGCAGTGAAGGGGTACTGCAGACAGAGCCCAAGGCCTCACTACCTCTTGAAAAATCAATTTCCTTGTCTAAAGGGAGGCTGACAAGCCCTCCTTGGCCTGCACAGCCCAGAGCTGTCACAAAGATGACACTGCAAGTGAGGATGCTCTGATAAGGACATGTGTAATGTTACTACAGTGTGTTTTTCTGTATAACACCTGTATGGCTGTTCCAGGTCTACTCAGAGCCTTTCCTGTGCTGACATACCCGCAGCTCAAGCCACAGATGCCCATGGGGCAAAAGCCTCCACTGCACACTTTGAACACTGAAAGTGACTGTGATTCCACTGGACCTCAACACAACCAAGAGTTCCAATGCTCAGGTTGGAAACCATGGGCTTGGTTCATATTCTTTATTCTCCAGATGAATAAAGGAGGGCTCAGAGAGTTGAAGGAATGGAGCCAGAGCTAGGTCCAAGGCCTCCAGAGAAACTTACCACCCCAAACGTCTTCTTTACACACCACTCCAAAATCTCTTCTCCAGAAGGCCCCAAGCTGCCCACCCAGAACAGAAGTCTGCCTAGACTTTTGGCAAGGACAGAGAAGGCTGAGGGGGACTTTTTTGCAGAAATGGTTAAATGGGTGGAGAAGCCAGAGGACTGACGAAAGTCTCAGCATTAGAAAGGCTGCACTAACATTCTGCTAGGCTCCTAGAACATAGCCTCAGCTCTGAGCCGAAGTCCTGACCACTGTCTTCAAGTACCAAAAGTAAAAAACATTAAAAATAACAATAATAATCCCAGGTTCCATGGTAGGGAGAGGGATCATTTTTAAGGTTCTCTAAGAACCTTCCAGCTATTGGGCTTCCGTGGAATTGAACCAAGAGGACCCAAGAGACATGAGCAGAGCTTAGTACATAGTGAGCGCTCTATCTCCATGGAACCCACCCCACACTCCAACAGTCAGCACTGAAACTGTCAAAGGCAGCAGAGGAACCAGATACCAGGTCTGCAGAGACCTAAGGTAAAGACATCAGCTCTGAGCAGCTGTGTTGGCAGAAACCCCACAAAATTCCATCTCATACTCACCTGTGTAGACACCAGTGACGATATCTCCCTCCTCAGGGTGAGGGCTATCTGGGACCCAAGGTTCTTCCCCTTGTTCTAGGTGGAAGATCAGATCTGGCTTGGGGATTGGGTATCCTGCCCAGGAGAGAAACAGATGGCAGCTGCAGAGCAGCTGTTCCTATCTATGAACAGACCCTCTCCTTTCCTCCATCCTTTCCAAGACCAGCCCTCCCTACCTCACACTGTTGGAGGAGATTGTGCATACCTCCATTCGTTGGTTGCCCTCACCAACCTCCTCTCCTCCCACCAAGCCCTGCCCCATATTCCTTCACCTGCAGGATGCCCTCACCTGCCTTCCCCCGTCAAAGCTTCTAGGGCCAAGAAGCACAGTGCCCAGAGCAGGATTGGCAGCTCCATAATACACAGTGCCCTGGCTCAGACACCCAACTGACCTCTACCAGAGGCCACAGTGGTCCCGAGGTTCCTGGGAGTAGGCTAGACCCAGCACCTCCCTGCTCCAAGACCCTGAGTCTCAAGAAGCACCCCCTCAGACAACTAAGCCCCTTGTAGTCATTGTAAGGAGGCTGCCTATAAGGAACAGAAGGCCTTCCTTACCTAAGGACACCAAGATCCCATAGTTCTCCTGCATCACTTCCTGGTAGAGGCTCCGCTGGTCTGCATCCAGCCTCTCCCACTCCTCCAGAGAGAAGTATACAGCCACATCTTCAAAGGTCACTAGTCCCTGGGAAAAAACAGCCCCAGACACTGCCCTGGTTAGAAGCTGAGGGAGCCCCCACACAGCCCACATGATAAAGTCAGAGAGAACATACTAAAGCCCTAAAACATGGATCTCAATGGGACATAGTCAGCATCCCATGCATTACTGGGTCTACAGATGCCCAGAAATACTAAAGGCTTTCAGGCTACACCCTGGCCCTGGAAGGTAGGGTCCTGATCCCATCTAGAGACCAGGGACTTGGGTTCAGAGAGGGTGGAGGATCCAGCTCACAGGGTACAAAAACGAGACTCACATCAAGGTGAGGAGACAACAAGCCCTGTAGCCCCTATTCACAAGCAAATTCTGTGGCAACATCAACAGTGTGAAGGTCCACTCTTGAGCAGACAAGTGGCACCAACTAAACCATGTGGGCACCAGTGATTGATCTCACTGGGCAGCAGGAAAGCAGAACCTCAGTAGGAGACAGGTACTCCAGGTAAAGGGAGCTATCTGACTTTGGGGAACAGCCAGGCCTCTGAAGTCACCATGCACAGTGCAGGTAAGCGAATGCCTACTGAAACATTCAAGACAACCCAGTAGCCTAGAAAGGGCCATACCCTAGGAAAACAGAACCATATCCCCTGGGCCTGAGACCTGCAGCCCTGTCCTGGCGAGAGCCTGGGCCCTACCTGAGGATCCCACTGCCACTGCTCTGAGGTCTTCAGGACTTAACGTGTAAAGCCCACCTGAGGAAACCCTGCCCAGGTTACCCAAGTTCCAGGTGAGTGAGAGAAGCTCACCTGAGACCCAGCTGTAAGAAAATCATCCTCATCTTCTTCTTCCTCCTCCTCCTCCTCCTCTTCTTCCTCCAGATCCTCATCCTGAGCAGTAACCTGGGAAGCCTGCAGGGCTGTGGGGAAAACCTCTTAGGGGTCAGCTGTCCATGAGCACCTGGTCTGGTCACTCAGTCAACTGCTGCCTAGTCAGCAAGCAAGGCTAGAGCTTCTAGCTACTCCCACATTTCAAAACCTAGCCCCTGCCACTCCAGCTCCAGCTCTACCCTAGGGGGCCCCAGAGCACTCTCTGGCACGGCCAAGTCCCTGGCATGGCCCACACCAGCCCTTTTCACTTCCACCCCCAAGGATTGGCTTTTTCTTACCCTCTTCCTGAAGAACTGGGGACTTGGCATCACCACCATGGCTAAGACACTCAGGGGTCCCCAACCCCGGACTCTGCTCCTCTGCCATCACCTCCTCCGTGTCGTTGTCATCGTCATCTTCTTCCTCCAATTCTGCCTCCACCTCCACCTCTGCCACCTCCTGCACCTGCTCCTCCTCCACCACCTCTGCCATGTCCTCCTCTTCTTCCTCTTCCACTACTATTTCTTCCTCCTCCTCCTCCTCCACCTCTTTCCCCTTTTCTTCTTCCTCTTCCTCCTCCTGGTCAAAATCACACTCTGACCCATCCTCTACCCTCTCCAGCTGGGTAGCTGGGGAATCTGGAGTTGTATGAAGAGCTGCCATCTTCCCTGGGAGCAAGTCTTCACGAAGTCTGAAATAAAGGCAGGAGATGTAGGTGAAGTCACTAGAGCTGAGGGAGAATCGGGGCTCTACCTACCATCTTATGCTGAGCAATCAGCACATTCTGCACCCAGAAAGGCTGCCTGAATAGCCCCTGAAACATGGCCTCCACTTTCTCACCATTTGGTATGAGCTACTACCAGTTTTGGAGTGAGTCAAGTATTTATCCTAAGTCTTTATCCTCAAGGATGAGAAGCATTGAATCCAGGCAACACAGCCCAAGGGTGGTCTACAAGAAACAGCCCCTCTGATACAGAGAACAGATACTTACCCAGTCTTCAGCATACATGAACCAGGCCAGCAGAGAATGTCAGAGGCGGGGCCCAAGCACAACCAGATTGTGGACACTTGGGAGACTCAATGGGTGGGAGGAGAGGATGAGGGATTCACTGGCCTCTTCAGGTGAAAGGTGAGATCAGCAGCGAGAAGCCAGCAGTTCAGACTCTGTCCTGTTGTGGGAGATAAAGGGCCATGAGTAGGCATTGCCCTCTCCTTTGTCCTTTCCTCTCACTGTCCAAGACATTTGGGAAAGGTTAAGTGGGCCATGGAGTTAGACTCATCAGTGGGCCAGCACAGGCAATACAAAATGTTCTGTGACCCCCTATTCTTTAAGCTTAGGTGTCACAAAATCTTAAGGAATAAAATGCCAAAACCCCAGAGGCCAAGATTCTGCTTTCCCACAGATGTCATAGGTGGGTTTGCTCAGGGAGATGGGAATTTGGGAGCCCTGGGACCACTCCTCCTTTACAGTTGCACATTCACCAGGTGAGGACAGTCACAGTTTGGATAAATTGGTTTCTGTGGCTCCTTTTAGGGTATGAACCTGAGACTGGGTCTGTCACTCAGCACCTGCCTCTTCAGTGTCTGAGATCTGAACAGGGCCATTTTCAAAGCAACCTAGTCCAACCCAGAATCCTGAGGGGGATGAAGGCATGAGTCCCAGAAAGATCCCAAAATATCAGGCCACATGGCCACACTAGACATTGGGTCCACCCCAGCTCATCCAGCAGCAAAACACCTAAACCACACTGTGTAAAATTGCCCAGAGTCACGAGAACACTGTTCCATAGGCACACATGGGAAAACTGCTCAGAGACTGACTCTTACTCCATATCCTTTCCCTTTTATTCCAGCAGCATCTACTCGTTTTCCAAACTGCTTTGAACAGCTGTTTTAAAACCCATAGTTCAATGGCCACAGTATCTGTGCAGGTCTGCTGAAGTCTGGGGGCTGGGTCCCCTAGCATCTAAAGACCATCTCTCTCCTGATGGTTGTACTCCCTCTTCACTGGTTCCCCCACACTAGATTCAAAATCTCTACCCCACCCACCCAGGTCTCAGAACTAGACACTAGAGGGCCAGTCCAGCGTCCTGCTTCTCCTAGAACCCAGCCCTCATCTCTCTGGCTCCCTGGTGTTGAAAGTTGCCTAAAACATAGGACCACATGTGCATATCTTGCCCTGGTAGGCGCTCACACTGAGAACACTCAGCAGTGGTTTCCCAAATGCCACCCACCTCACACCCAGAGAGGGCTTTTCTCACTTAGGTCTCAGGTGGTAAAATCAAGCTAAGTATATAAGCACCAGCACAGCATCTCCTACCAGATCACCACCTGGAGCAACAACTTCAGACTCCTCCAGGCCAGGTCGTTATATATGGAGACCCAACAAAAGAAGAGAGCCCGTGGCTTGGGAATACACAGGTCCCACACTCACCACCTCAGGACTTTTACATGTGCCACCCTCTTTTCTTAGAACTCTCTTCCCCCTTCTCTGATGATCTTGTACCCTGGGCCACTGTTGAGCACAGTTCTGTTCTTGTCCCTGGCAGCACCCACATTTTCTTTACCTGAGAGCAGTCAACTGAGGAACAGTAGGAGCTCCCTTTGCTCCTCTCTGAATCCCACCATTCCAGACAGAATAAGCACTCCAGTATTTACTGAGGAAGTGACCCCAAAATCTATCATTAATGTGATAAAACAGAATTTTTAAAGCTCGGTGTTTGAGCTTACTGTCATGTTCCAGAACAGGTTAACCACACTGGGGGAGGGGAGGTTCTCTGAGATAGAACACACCTCAGAAGCAGCAGAGTCTCTGCCTACAAAGAGGATAGCAGGTAAAGTTCCTTCTCCCAAGAAGTCCATCCACTGGTGACCAGAGGAAAGAGAAATCCAACTCTTGCAGATGTCTAGGGACCCTGAGCAGACAAGCCTGGTGCCCAGCAGAGCCAGACACCCCTTGTGCCCTGACCCAGGATTCAGAACAGAGTGGAACTCGGGGGTGGGTCAGTTTACACTCCTGCAGCTCTGCCCTGGTTACTCCCTGTCTCCTCAGACCCACACTCTCACCTCCTCCTCCTCCAGCCCACCAGCCCTCTGGAAACTCATTTTGCTCACTTCTCCTTGACCTCTGATCCCAGGTCAGAAGCCACAAAGGTCAGATAAAAAGCTTCATTTCTTGGTCACTCAGTTCCACTAGGGCCCTGCACCCTAGCATATGTTGCCATAGACTTTTAGAATTGGGGGTGATGCCTCCTGCAAGAAGGAGAAAAGTTTGAAAACTGTTTAAAAAAAAAAAACTCCACAAAAGTCCCAGAGCCAAGGAAATCCACGTGTGGGAGATGCATGGTGCACTTGTACTAGTCAACCTCTTTCCCTCTGGGTAGCCACACTGATGTTGGGGCCCATGAGGTCTTCTGATCTGTCAGGAAGATGGCTGCCACCAACCTCATCGTCTGTCCATGGATTTTAGCAACCCCCACCTCCTTGCTACTGATGCAGGTGTATACATGGGCACCATCCGAGGCCCCTGGCCAAGCCAGCCAGTTCCCCAGACCTGCCAATACTTGTTGGGCCAAACCAAGTGTCAATGTTACTCTACACAGGAAGAGGTAGGGGGCTGGTCCTCTGGGTACCTATACCTCCCCTTACCCCAGTTCATCTTGACTTCCACCAAAAGCCAGCCCCACTCCCACCTCTGTGGCCACAGGGACACCCCAGATTCCATCGGATACCCTCCCACACCTACCCACCCTGGGGAATGAGGTCCCCTACCCACCTACTGGCAACGGATGACTTAGCATAGCAGCCCAGCCGGCCTCCATTTGCAGATCAGGGAAAGATCAGAGACGCCCACCCCCCCAAGGTCACAAAGCAGGCTGGGGCACCAGAACAAGTTGCTTCCAACCCCGCCCTCCAGGGGGCTAATCGGACCTACATCTCCCGCAGAAGCCATTCCTATGACAGCCCCTCCTGGATGGGTGTGTCCCCGGGGGCGGGGGCGGCCGCGGCCCAGCCTTCGCCACCACATCGGAGGAGGCGTGGATACCTCCTGAGGTGTCGCGCGTGTCCTCCTCAGCCCGCCCCCTCCGTGGTGCCTGCCTGGACCTGCCCTGGGGGTAGGGGCCCGCCCGTGATGCGCAGGCCCGGGCGAGGGTCCGCGGGCCTCGCGGGGCGTGGGCGCTGCAGAGGAAGGTCGGTCGCGCGGCTGCGGCTGCGGCCCCGCCAGGCCCTGGCCCCGAGCGCCGCGGCCGCCCCACGGCCCCGCCAGGCCTCCAGCGCCGGGCTTCGAGGGAGCGCGGCCCGCCCCTTGCCGCCCCCAGCACGAGCCGACCAGCCCGCGCCGCCCGCGCCACGGCCGCCCGCGCGACCCACTCACCGCGCGCCGGGCCGGCCGAGCGCGGGCCGGTCGCGGAGCCAGGGCCTGCGGGCCGCCCGGGCCGCTCTACACAAAGTGACGGCCGCGAGCTGCGCGGCGGCAGCGGCGGCAGCGGCGGCGGCGGCGGCGGCGCGTGGGCACCGGAAGTGCCGCCCGCTGGCCCCGCCCCGTCCGTGCCCACTGAGGAGGCACTTCCGGTCACGCGGAGCTCTCCGGCGCGCGGTCGGGGATCCTGAGGAGCCGGTGCTGCTCTGCTCTGGCCGGGCGCGGGGGCGGTGCGCGCTTTAGAGGCTCCGGGGCACCCACGACTTCGCCAGCGCGAAACCCCAGTGCCACCCCTGGGTACACCCACGAGGTCCAACTCTCCGAGCATCTTCTGCGTGTCCAACCCGGCCAGCCTCATCCATCCAATATCCAGGGAGCCCCTGCTGGGTGCCCGGACCCGCGCTGGGCCCGTCCCACAAGTCCAGGGGACACTCCCGGGACTCCGCGATTGGGAAGGAAGGCGCTGACCCCTGTGGGGCCGTCGGGTTGGCGTGCGTGTTGGTAGACCCTGACAAAGGCAGGGATAGTCGATCTCTTGAGCGATGGAAGAGCAGGACTGGAACAGATGGACCAGGTGCCCACAGGTCCATTACACCCCCTTCCTAGGCCACTAGTGTCAGTGTGAGGGGCTGTGGGTCAGGGACTAAAGGGTCCAATGAATCGTGGCATCAGTATGCAGGAAGCTCCTGGGGTTGCGGAGGCTACACTTGAAGGAACATGTGGTCAGGACCATGGGAAATAGAGGGCAGCCCACGAGGAGGCCGAAGTCATAATAGGTGTGGGGATCCCAAAACCTGGATTCAGCAAGCATTTCACTCTATCCCAAAGTCTGCCTCAGAGCTGGAGTCTGATGGTGAGCTCTGGCTCCTACAGAGATTAGGGGCTCTTTTCAGCCTGGAATGGTGTGGACTAACCTCCTTTCCCCGCTCCCGTGTACCAATATTCTTAGTACATTCGGTGATGAGCCCCGCCGTGTACCAATATTCTTAGTACATTCGGTGATGAGCCCCGCCTTGGACCCTCGAGGCAGGGCAGCAACCGCTGGGGAACAGAGGAGCTTCACTCCTGCCTGACATAATTTATGTCCACTCGAGAACCTCAGCCCCTGGCTGGTGAGCTTCTGGAACTTGAGAAGCATTCAGACCTCTCTCAGAAAGGGAGGAGTGTAGCAGCCCCAAAGCCCTGCCCTTCCCAGAGCATACCTAGCCACTTTCCAACTGAATCTGATTCCTTGCTATGACTACTTGGCTCATGATGTTTTTAAATTAACAATTAACAATTTATAATTGACTTCCATTTTACAAACAAAGTGGCTGGGCTGTGGCACACACCTGTAATCCCAGCGGCTGGGGAAGCTGAGGCAGGAGGATTGTGAGTTCAAAGCCAGCTTCAGCAATGGCAAGGTGCTAAGCAACACATTGAGACCCTGTCTCTAAATAAAATACAAAATAGGGCTGGGGATGTGGCTCAGTTCAATCCCTGGTACCAAAAAAACAACAAAGAGAAAACTCCCAAGTTCAGGCAATATAGGGCCTATACTTTGCTGGGCACCGCCATTCTTGGCACCCACCATTCCCCACCACCTTTCTCCAGGTGGCACCCTCTATCTGGTCTTATGGGTATCTAAGCTTTTGAACCTGTACTGCCGGCTTAAACCCTTTCCCCACCCTACCTGACTTGTCAAGTTCAAGAGGAAGCAACCTTCACCCCAGGAGAGTTCCAAACAAGGGGAAGTAGGATAATTAACAATTAACCAAGAGCAGTGGCATCACCAGGTAAAAGGAAGCAATGGAATATGGAGGCACCACAGTCTGGCAGCCTTTGCCACCCTTATGCTTGAAGGAGAGGATAGAGTAGGATGTTGTTGAGTCAGGGGAGAACTGGAGGTGTGGACATGGGGTCACCAGGTAGCAGTTGTGACTATTGAGGGACGTTGGGGGATTGGGCAAGGAGAAAGCCCAGTCCTACCTCTTGCACCCTGTCACCTGCCAGTGCTGCCCTATGGCTAGGGGACACAGCCCTCAGAGTTCAGTCTTCAGGTTCCAGAGCAGAGTAGAAAACAAATGAGGGGAAGGCAGTTAGAGAATCCATCGCTGAATTCCTGCCTTGGAACCTTCCACCCTGTTGGGCAAGAGCCCACATCCCTCCAGCTTCTGTCAGTTCTCACCTTGGTCAGTCCTGACCTGATCCTTACTTAAGACTCAATTTCTCCCCTGCCCTTCTTCGCAGAGATTTTCAAAGGCAGAGTCTACCAGACTCCCCCACTCCACAGGCCCTTGGACCTTGCATTTCATCCTGCTCTCTGAGGGTCTTCCCTTCTTCCTCCTATCTCTTGAGCCAGAATTAGACAGGCAGATAGGCCTTATCAAGGTAATCTGCCCCTACTCCAACCTATTGCTAAGGTAACCTGTCCCAGGAATTGCCCCTCCCTACAGGGAGTTATAAAGTTGTTAATTAATGTGTCCTGGGGTGCTCCATCTGGCCCTTCCCCAGTCCATCTGCTTCTCACCTTTTGGGCTCACCTTTTGGCTATCCCACCAAGCATCTCCTGGGCCCAGTCATATGTACTCAGGAAGGAGAGATAAGGGGAAGAGAGTAGGAGAACCAAGGAAGCCTATGATATGTAAAAAAAAAAAAAAAAAAAAAAAAAAGCAGAATGTCTCACTTCTTAGGATACCAGGATACCAGCTATGGCCCCCTTCTCCCTCCCAGGAGAAGACTGTGTTACCGCTTTTGAAATAAGCCCTGCTTTATATGCTTGCCTCGGTGTGCTTCTCTAATGTTTAAACTTTTAACATGTGAGAGAGGAGAACTCATCACTGGTGACTGGCAGTATCATATTTGGAGGTCACACCAAGATCTACACCAAGGTAAGCTCCTCTCCATGCACCCTACATCTGTTTGAGGTGCATCTCTTTCTTTCTGGAGGATGCTAGTGGGTACCTGTTGGCTACTTAAATGCAGTTAGTACAGCTGCCACTCTTCAAGACTTGGGTGTAAGGTTTCCTGACCTAGGCGGCTCCCAATCACCTGTTCTGTGCAGAGCAGGCATGTTGGGTCCTGCCAAAGCCACTTCCTACTTTTCTGCCCAGGCCTGAGAGCGATTGGCATAAGTACACAGCATCTCTAGATCTGGTCTACCCTTGGATGCTCGGAGATGGATAAAAGGACAGGAGCGACTGCAAAATTCTAGCCTGGGCCACTCTTGGGTGAAATTCAAATGTTCCTTCTCCAACCCCACTCCTATCGCCCTAAGTATCCAGGGTGACTGGTTGATAAGAGTCACTGAGAGGAAAGGCTAATAACAACTCGCCTTTGTATAAGCCGCACAACACTCGTGCACTCCACCCCTGCACCTGTTCCTCCAGGGTGCCTCCTGAATCAGACATTAGCCATTCAGATTGTAGGACTGAAATAAAGGCATGGGACGATTAGTAAAAAGTACCCAGATTCCCTTTGTTCACATAGTTAGCCTTCACAAGCCTATTTAAAATCTCGCATGACTGTTCCTGTCCTCAGATGAACTCAATGTTTTTGTTTTTTAATGCTACAAGAGGGAGGTGCTCTATTTTAACCAACCCCTTCCATAAACTCCACCAGGAAAAGGGTATTTGTTATGCACTTAACAATCAGTAGATCTCCCGCTTACCTTCCAGAGATTCCTTTAGTCTACAGGACAACAAATAGACACAAAAGGTGAAGACATATATAATTTTTTCTTTCATCATAATCAGAAGTTATATTGGAAGGATGGAAAGCAGTAATGCCCTTAAGTCTGAATCCTCCAAAGTTCTCAAACATAGGGCAAACTGGGACCCTAGCACTTTGCCAAAGAAGGCCAGAAATAACTTTGGCAAAGGAGGGTGATGAGAGACAGTTTTCTGGACCGTAATGCAGCTCAAGTTTAGGGAGACGTCCTTAGGAAAATGAACAGTTTTTCTCAGACGCGGGAGACTTCTTTTCCATCACTCCGGTGGGAGTGTCTCTCTCAAGTCAGTTTGTAGATTGACCAGTAGTCTACACACTGGAAATTACAAATGATCAGGAAAAGTGCCTCATTTTCATGTGCTGCCAGTGAAGCCAGAATTAGACAGGCAGTCAGGTCGGATCAAGGAGGCCAGTTTGAGTCTTGGAAGTTGGAGACTGGCCCCTGAGGGATTGAAATGTTGATTCCTTCAGAGCCTTTCCTCCACCCTTATTAAGAACCTGCCCCAGGCTGGGATTGTGGCTCTGTGGAGCGCTTGCCTAGCACCAGGGGGACCAGGGTTCCATCCTCAGCACCACATAAAAATAAAGGCATTGTGTTGTGTCCACCTACACCTAAGGAAGAAATGTTAAAAAAAAAAAAAAAAAAGAACTTGCCCCTGCTCCAACCTGTTGCTAAGGTAACCTGTCCCAGGAATTGCCCCTCCCATACAGTGGTTGATTAATGTGTCCTGGGGTGCTCCATCTGGCCCTTCCCCCATCCACCTACTTCTCACCTTTTGGCCATCCCACTGAGCATCTCCTGGGCCCAGCCATGTATTCAGCAAGGCCAGAGATAAGGGGAAGAGAGCAGGAGAACAAAGGAAGCCCAGGGCATATAAAAAGGCAAAACACCCTTGCTTCTGGGGATACCAGGATACCAGCTATGGCCCCCTTCTCCCTCCTGGGGGAAGTCTGCTTTACCCCTGAAAGGTGAGTGACTCAGCCGAGATGGAGATTCA